AGCATCTTAGTGACCTTTTTTTGTGTATTACAAGCAGCACAGTGCTTGGTACATAGTAGGTGCTCATAAAATATTTGTTGTTGAATTAATGCAATAGGTTTCTCTCATTTTCCTCCCTTAGCCTGGATGAAGGCAGATGAACCTTCAGAGCCCTTTGAGGGGCAAAGAGAAAAGTCAGGTCAAATGTGGGGGAAGGTGGCTGCCTCCCCTTTCATAGCTACTTCGAAAACATGCTTTTGGAACCTTGTACCCTGGGGGCGAGAAAGCACTTCAGAGTACCTAGAGCTCTAGGAGGTGCATGTCTTTGGGTAAGATATTGTGATACCAAACATTCATTCAACAAACCCTTATCATGAGTCAAGACGTGCTAGACATGAGTAAGGTTCAGTTCCTATCCTCATGAATCATACAGGTCAGGCAGAGACAGATCTGGACACAGCTCAGGGCCCCAAGGAGGAGCCCAGAGGAAAGGACCTTGAATGTGTCCCAGGAGAGTTAATGTCAAGACCAAGATCTGACTGTGGAGCCAAGTTGCTTTTGGGGAGAAGAGCCACAGTTCTCTGACAGAGGAAGAAGATGGGCCTTGAAGGAGGGGTATCAAGAGAGCAGAAACAGCAAGAACATCTCCACTGTCTGGAAGCATGTGGACTGACTCCCAGGCCTGCCAGGGTCTTCCTGATACTGCAGGCGCCTGGATGATGCAACTACCATTTGGGGCTCTGTCCTCTGCCCTCAACCACCAAGGAACCACCTGACTCTACTATGGCCACAAGCAATGCATCCCCAGGATTCTCTCCATACCTTGCTGCTAGGAAGCAAAAGAGGCCAATGGTAAATAGACACAGACCCATAAGACACAAGATCTCTCTGCCTGAGTGTGAACAAAACCCACATGAGAAAAGAAATAAGAATTTCCACCAACAATTTTATTATTATTGAAAACATTTTGAACGAAGCAGAGAATTTAACAAAATGCATATAAAAATACACTCCTTTTAGAAAAATCACAAGTGGACAATAGACTTTTGGAATCGTTCTTCTGATTACCCAGGGAAGATGCAATATTTATTTAATAGTAAACTGCATTCGGGTAAGACCAGCCACTGCACTGGGCCATGAGACATAAGCAGCCCTAACACCACCTGAGCATTCAGAGTAGAAGAAAAGCTTGACAAACAGGGGACAGCTTGGGAGGGCAGCAAGACAGCCCAACCAGCAAACCAGGGCCCAGGAGGCTGGAAGGAGCTGGGGTAAGGCATAGGGAACCAGATACACAGCATGGGCTGTGGGGAGGGGAGCTGCCATTTATTCTGCCTTATAAGGTGTCACTAGTACATGAGGACCTGGGCCATCCGTAGGACAGCTCCTGTGTGCATGTTTGTTTTAAATCAATTCATATTTAACTCACTAGACTAACATGTGGCTTCAGTGGGAGTCATCCTTGTCTGCAGCACAGGGAGACCAGAGAGGAGAGGCCCAGATCAGCAAAGCAGTTTCTCAAATTAAGCTCAATTAAGCACCTGCTGAGCCTGGGGATGGGGAGGGGACAGGAATTGTGAGGCTCGGACCTCCCCCAGGGAGCTCCCACTCCTATCCCCTGGTGGGACATGCCATCAGAAGACTTTTCCACATGGCCCACGATTGGGTGTGGGACAAAGCAGCAGGACTGTTTCCACATGTGGGCGATCAGGATGTGTTACAGAAGTCACTATGACTTGAGATGGGGTGTAGGGGACAGGCAGAGTAGGAAAGTGTGTGAGCAAAAGTCCCACAAGGGCGTGTACCACAAGAATGGGAGGTGGATGTATGGGCAGTTTGGGGAAATGAGCTGGAGGCTGGAGGCCAGGCCGATGCAGTATTTTTCACATACTTATTTATTCTTTCTGTCATGCAACAGAAGATATACTGAGTGCAAACCCTCTGCCAGGTGCTCCCGCAGGTGCTGGGCACACAGGTGAGCAGGGCAGGCTCCCACCCTCTGGGACTGGCGCTGCCTCCCTGGAGATCTCGGAGCAGGGGTACCCCATGCTCCACACTGTGCTTCCTGGGGCTCCTGCCAGCTAGTAAATAGTAATAGTAAACTGCATTTGGGCAAGACCAGCTACATGGGAAGTGGAGGCTGCAGCCTGGTCCAGGGTGAGGGCCAGGCCCTGAACTAGGTGTGGCAGTGGAGAAGTGTCTGTCACAGGACAGTGTGGTTGGCAGGGTCAATAACAGGAGGGACTGCCTTCCTAGGCCAGCCAAGTCCCCCTGTAGCAATCACAGGGGAAGAAGCATCCCATCAATATCCAGGATGGAGGGGCCGGGGCAGGAAAATGGGGCTTGGGGAGGATAGGGAGGCCAGGAAGTAGGAGAAAGAACCCCTCATCCTTCCTCCAACCCCACCCCACAGCAGGATCCTATCACCGGTCATGGGGGACAGGGGATTCGCGCCCATAGCTCCTCTGGTCTTCATGCCTGTAGCTGTCCCCATAGCCCCTCTCGTCTTCATGCCTATAGCTGTCCCCGTAGCCCTTCTCATCTTCATGTCTATAGCTGTCCCCATAGCCCTTCTCATCTTCATGCCTGGAGCTGTCCCCATGGCTCCTCTGGTCTTCATGCCTGTAGCTGTCCTCTTCCCTTCCTCTGGAAAGCTCTCTCAGCTGTTCTGGTGGCTCCTGGTAGGCTGCCCGATTCCTACAGTTAAGACAGAATGGAAGGATTTTCCCTCAGCTGGGCCTCCAAAGGAGCTGGGCCTCCTGCACATTAAGGGAAAAGCAGCCATCAGACCTGCCAGCCCCACCCTAGAGCTGAACAGGATGCTGGACTAAAGGGCAGAGCTGAGAGTGGACAGGAAGGGACCACGAAGGTGTTCCACTCACGAGTTGAGGGAATTTCAAGATCAGGAGGGCTCCACTAGCCAAGAAGGGTCTGGCCCTCGGACAGAGGCTCCAGCCCACTCTTGGCTCTGGACACTCCCCAGGCAGCCCCATCCTCTGAGCCTCGGAAAATCCTGGGACTATAGGCACATTTTATGATGGTCAGCTTATTCCTTTCCTCTGCCACAAAATGGGGGTGATGTCCCCCAGGGTGTTGCAAGTGAGAGAAGCTCTGAGAAGTTGGGATCCTTATTTCCAATAAGCTCAGACTCTTCCAACAGGCAGCCCGCCCAGACACTCACGGCCTTGCGTCCTCCCTATCCTCAGCCTTGTCATCACTCCCCCGGCAGCAGCAGCAGTAGATGATGATGCCGATGATGATGAGGGCCAGAGCCACGCCCGCCGCGATGCCCGCATACAGTGCCATGTTCATGGAGGCTGCCAGAGGACAGGGCAGCTGTACCACCAGAGCTGGCCTGGCCCCCGCCCTCCTCCCAGCCCAGGGAGCAGCAGCTGCCAGCTTCTGACAATACTCGGTGACAGGCATGGCCTTGCGGGACTGTAACCCGACATACCAGGGGATACTCTTTGGGAATGGATGCGCAGATAAGGACTGACAGACAAATAGCTCCACATCTTAACACTCTCTGGGATACCCTGGCTCTGGAATAATCCTCTGTGTCAGCCCTGCCAGCTCCTGGGGCTACACGTGGCGCCTCCTCCCACAAAAGGATTGGGGCCAGACTCTGCAGTAGCTGGCTCTGGGCACTTTCCCCCTGCTCATCAAGTAGCCCATAGGGGAAGAACTGAGGAAGTCTCCAGAAGTCAGTCCTAGGCTCCACTTCCAAAGAACCAGTGGAGCAGGACTGGCCTCCGAGTGAGGAGAGTCTAGGACAGGAGTTGTCCTGCCTAGGCCACCACCACAAATACCCTGCAGGGGAACGGCCCTAAAGAGACTGGCCAACTCAATGCCTTGGTTGTCTCACAGCTGACTCTTAGGCCCTGGGTCAGCCATCTTTTGGTCTCTGTTATCCCTTCGTCCCCAAGCTGCTCTTACGCATTCTGACGGCCACTGTGATGTTGCAGGATTCCATCCCCACCTTGTTGCTAGAGATGCAGATGTAGTAGCCCGATGTGTCTGTGGAGATGTTCTTAAGGGAGAGGGGCTGGCCTGAGACTGGAGAGGAAGAACAGTCGGGGGAGGAGAGAGCAGGAATCAGGGGCCTGGACTCCAGGGAGGTACATGCTCTGCCACTGAGCCTCCCCAGATGTGGTCTCATCTGTAATAGGGAGAAAATCTCCACCTCTCAGGCTGTGGGACCACTGAGCCAGGTGTGACACATGACACTGAAGAGTTGTGAACTCAGTCAGGGACCCTGGAGCTGATGTCTGCCTCTGACACTTATTTTGGGGCCTTTGGCAAGTAACTTAGCTTCATTAAAGCTTCGTTTCTTCACCTATAATGGAAATAACAGGACCTGCCTCCCAGGGACTTGTGAACACAAAAGGAGGTGCTGCTAATACGTCTAAGCCCCAGTGGAAGGGCAGACATGTAGCGAGAGCTCAGAAACAGGGCCCAGCTTGACGGAATGTTTCAGATAGTGCAATGTGAAAATGCTGTAAAATTAGAACATAATATTGCCACTTCGATAATCTTGAGAAACTGAATCCCTTAGCTTGGACTCATGTGAAAGAGGCTTGGGAAATCAAAAACCTGGATCTCTGGATTTCTGTCATGAGGAGGGTATATGTGTGGGATATGTGTGAGGGGCGTGGGGGTGTGTGTGTGGCGTGTATTGTGGGTGTTGTGTGTGTGGTGTGGTGGTGGGGTATGAGTATGGTGTGGTGTGTATCTGGTTCACGTAGTGTGTGGTGAGCGTGCATGTAGCATGTGGCATATATGTGATATATGCAGGGTGTGTGTGTGTGTGTGTGTGTGTGTGTGATGTGAATGTGTGGGGTGCAGGAGTATCAGGTAGGGTGTATGTGGTGTGGGTTGAGAGGGCGAGTGCATGTGGTGTGTGTGCAGTGTGTGAGGGGATGAGTGTGTATGTGGTGTGCAATATATGTGCGTGGTGTATATGATGTGTATGTATCGTTTGGTGTGTGGGGGGTGTGTACTGGAGTATTAGTGTGTGTGTGTTTGTGTGTGCCGTGTGTGTGAAAGTGTGGGCAGGGTGTGTGCGTGGTGTGGATGTGTGGCATTGGGGTAGGATGGAGGCGTCTGCTACCTTTTCCGGAAGCCATTTCATTTCTTTAAGCTGCAGCACCTTCTCCAGAATGTGTGCGTGTGAAAACACTTGATCCTCCTGACTCCAGGGGGATGGACAAGGGTGCCCCCCTGAGAGACCTTCTGTCTAAATTTACAATCTGTGAATTTCTTCATTTTGAAAGAGAGAGCTTTATGCTCGGACATACGGCTAAGCCCTGTCCTCAAAGATGCTTTGTCATGACTGCTATTCTGACAGAAGAGTTAGAGACCGGCATCCTCTAATTTCGCTGCAGGGCCAGCCTTGTGTGATCCCTGCTGCCATCAGGTGGCTACACTCCATCCACAGGAGATGGCCTAAATTGCAGATAGGATCCCACCACTGCTCTGTTTCAGACATTTCAGAGGCTGCACATAATCCTCTGTAACAAATTCCAGCTTTTTCATGTGACAAGGTTACAGATCTGGCCCCACCAGCTTTATTTATTTATTTGCTACTTTCCCTGATGTCCTGCAGGAAAACCAGGGAAGCAGCCCTCTCCCTGCTCCACTGCCACTGTCTTGCAAGATTGTATCTCCAGCCTTTCCTTGTCTGGATGTGCTGCTTGGTACATGTCCTCAAATATAATGTCCTCTCAGCCTTCCAACACTCTGGTATGAAGGGGTGTGGAACAAATATCTCAATCTCCTCTTGCACGGAGGCAGACAGAGGCTTGGAGAAGTGATGGGACTTGCTCCAGGTTGCAAAATTAAGAAATGACAAAGCTGGAACAAAAATCCCATTTTAGGTCTTGAACCTTCTGGGGTCATTGGCAACTTCCTTTTTTACAAAAACTTTATATTCTAAAAGCAATATATGTTCATTATAAGAATTTATACTATATGATGTAAAACTATTTCAATTCAATTCAATACAGAAAACATGCTGATCACAGCTATAAAGAACATAACAAAGGTCCCCGTCCTCTCAGTGTTTCCGGCCAACAAAAGAAGAAAGACATGAAACAATGGTGGTTTTGAGGGGGGTTACAGTTCAAAACACAGCTGCTATTTGAGCTTACATCAGAGGATTTAATCTCATCCAAAAAGTCAAGGAAAGCCTGTATAAAGAAGAGAGAATGAGATAAAAATCACTCACAATTGGCTCAGCGCCTGTAGCACAGTGGTTATGGCACCAGCCACATGCACCGAGCATGGCAGGTTCGAACACAGTCCAGACCAGCTAACCAACAAGGACAACTACAACCAAAAAAAAATAGCTGGGCGTTGTGGTGGACACCTGTAATCCCAGCTACTTGGGAGGCTGGGGCAAGAGAATTGCTTAAGCCCAAAAGTTTGAGGTTGCTGTGAGCTGTGACGCCACAGCTCTACCCAGGGTGACAGTTTGAGACTCTGTCTCAACCCCCCCCCCCAAAAAAAACACCATTCACAATCTCACTATCTAGAAATAACAGCACTTTGATTGGCTTTTTTTCTTCCAGTTTTTTCACTCGTGTTTTCTTTAAAGTCTTCCCTTGAACCACAGGACACTACTCTCTGGTGTTCATTCTCTATAAAATGCTGCCCCTTCTATCCTAGGATTCTGCACCTAACGCATTTTCTGGAATATTGTGTACAAGCGATACTGACATGTGGTACTGAAAAAGAGGTCCATAATCAAAACAAGTTTACAAATCACTGAGTTGAGGTTAAATAAGTTTTTTAAGGGCAAAGCTTGCAAAGCTCTTAGTATGCTAAAGAGCACCAATAATCTCTGATGGGGGTTATAGTATTAATAACTTCATTTTCCAAACTAATTGTGTTTTGTTATTTTTAAGAGGCATCTTGTAGCAGCACACTTTGGGAAATGTTCTATGATCCTGGACCCACTTAGAAGGTCTAGAATTCATAACAGATTCCCACAACTTTGGAGTGTAAAACTCAGCCCACGTGTTTGGGGTACATAGCACACTGCACACAGACTGAGGACACTCCTGGGCCTTGATTGGGGGGTGACTTTGTAGTCCACTGAGTTAGCACCATCCTTCCCTAGTTCCCTGATGCAAACAGTGGGCCTTAAAAGCCGGTCTGAGATGAACCAGTAAATGTCATCTGCCACAGGACCTGCTTTGTTTCTATGTTGGGGCTCCTAAACCCCTTTTCCTTTAGAAAGGGACCAGTAATTTCTGAAATCCAGAGAAACTAATGTTTCTGCTGCAGTGGTGACACCTCGTGGTCAGGACGGGGAATGCAAGGAAGGTAACCTCCCACCTTGACTCTGCTCCAGGTGTGGAGAGATTCCTCTTCAGGGAAGCTCAGGTCTTACCAAGACACTAAAGCCAAGTTGACAAGATCTAACTTTTCTGCCCCCTTACCGTGACCCTACAGCTTGTCAATAAGCTCAGGATGTCACCTCTCACCCAAGGTCCTCAAGATCCTTCTTGGACCCATCCCCACTTTTCATAGTCTCCCTGGGCAAAGTACTCCAGTCCCCAGAATCCCCCCTGCCATTTCCTTGATATACAGCTTCCTATTTACTTGATGCATAAAACCCAGCTGTCTGGGACACAGTTACAGAGCATGTTCAGAGCTGCAACATAAGTGATTTCTTCTTATCCGCTTCACGGCTTTGGGGGAAGGTAATATTATGACCATACCAGTTTCTTTCAAATGATAATACTAAAGGTCAGTGAGGCTATTAATGATTTACAGTGGAGAATTCAACGCTCAAATTCTTGTTTTCTGGTTCCAGAGTCCCTGATCTCACTGCTAACTTGTTTACACTGATTACTCGGTCAAAGGAAACAATCTCTAATGCTGGAAATTCTGTCTTCAGATGTAGAAGGGTGGGGGAACACCCCCTTTCCAAATCATCCATGGTAATCTGAAATGTTTTAAAAGTCACAAATAGGTTTGGACTGACCCACAGGGGAGGAAGATGTGGGTAGAGTCTCTTGGCTCTGTGCAGCAGGGTGCAGACAAAGACTTTGAGACCCTCACCCCGCATCACCATCCAGAGGCAAGCTTGTGTCGGGATTACCGTTAACCACGTTCTTTTCCATCATTCCCAGGTCCCCAGCCTAACGCTGAGAAAATATCAACTAGAGGCAGAATAAACCTTCAGAAAAGACAGAAAAATGTCTCCCTTTAACCTCTTTTCATGTCCTCAGAATTCTCCCCTTTTGGATCACTGAAAAGCTAAACTCTGACTTCTAACCAGCAGAGAAGTCTCCCAACAGGGGCAGGAGCGCTGCAGGCAGGTGTTCATTTGTGAGGATGTTCGGGATGTGGTGGGGTCAGTGGAGTCAGAGATGGATGGGCCCAGCATGGATAGGGGATGGAAATGGAAATGCCTCGCCCCTGGGAGGAGCTGCAGAGTTAGACTTGGAGCCTCAATGTATACTTAATCATAATCATAATGATATAGTAACACAGCATTATGGACATAATCATAACAATATAATCATATAGTATTATGAACACAATCATAATGATATACTAATATAGCATCATGGTCGTAATCATAATCAGAATTAAACCCCCACCCCGTGCTTTTGCACAAAGTGGTTGTCAATAACAACTGCAGTCAAGAGAACTGAGGTATGAAGAATAGAGAAAACAGTTTAACAATTATTGTGTGCTTCCACTGAGTGCTTTACATGAATCATCTTTATTTCTCACCAGAACTGTGAGGGAAGTATTATTATGAGAAACCAGCACTTGGAGAGATGGCCCAAGATATCACAGTGGTAACAGCAGGGTGGTGGAATGGGGAGAGGGGCAGCCTTCAGGAGCTCTGACTGGTCATCCCACGTCTCCCCTGGCAGGCCTTGCCAATCAGCTGCAACCTTCCCCGTTGACCCCATTACCTACCTGGTTGGGGCAGTGGCCGCTCCTGGTTCAGGACATCGTAGCTCTTCCAGCTGTACTGAGGGGCTGGGGAGCCCTCCTTTGATTCGCAGGTCAGCTGGATATCATTCCCAATTACAGTTTCTCCCTGGATGGCGCAGTCTGGCTTGGAAGGTGACACTGTGTAGAGGAAGATCAAAGAGCAGCCGTATATCAGGCAGAGCTTGGTGACAACTGGAAACAGGTACATACTGCCTCGTTTGTTTAAAGGCAGAGAAATCCATAGTTTAGTGTGAGATATAATGCTGTAAAACAAATTCACCCCCAAAATATCTGCTTGGTGGCCTGACCCCATCACAGAGAGGCAGTACATACAGCAGGAAGCATCATGTTCTGGCTATAGTAGGTGTGGTTTCATATGTTCCTCTAGTTTAGACTCACAGAATTTTAAAAATAGTTCAACATGACCATTATACAGATGGGGATACTAAGGCCAAGGGAGGGCAGTTACTTATGGGTTGTAGCAGAGCTGGGACTAGAACCCAGGTCTTCTGACTCCAGGCCCAGTGCACAGTTCACCAGCTCACATTAGTCCATCCGTCCCTTTTAGGGAAATCCTCAATCCCTCTAAACTTCAGAGTTCCTATCTGTAAAATTAGGAGACAACAAACCTTTTCTGTAAAGGGCCAGATGGCAATATTTTAGGCTTCGTAGACCATTTATCATCTCTGTTGTACTTCTTTTTCTTTTTAAATAACGCTTTAGGAAAGTAAAAAAAAAAGGCTGTGAGCTGAATTTGGCCCCTAGTTTGCCTACCCATGGGTTAAATGATCTCAGAAGCCCTTCAACTCTTAACTTCTTAGGAATGTTCTCTTCAGGGTAAGGCATTACCCGCTTCCAGTGCTCTGCTGATAGAATGCAATTGCCTGTGTGGCTGTGTGCCTGGTGATAGGAGCGACTACAGGGTAGGGCTAAGTGCTGGGTGGAGAATGAGACAGAGGGGGCAGGGGGCAGAGATAAGAACAGGGAAGCCCAGAGAGAGGAGGTTACAAACCGAGCAGCATCCTCAACTCACGGTCCTAACCCGATTTCTTGAGCCTTTTACTCAGTGTTATTAAGGCACCACTGTGTACAGGGGTTCATTCTGCAAACCTTATTGGGCACCTACTGTGTGCCTGACAGTGCTGGGCACTAGTATAACACAGTGAGTTAGTCAAGGGATGCAGTGGGGGCAAAAGACAAGTGTGTGGACAGTGACCAGGCAGGAGGCAGGGCTGCTAGGATGGGGAAGGCACAATACAGCATCAGCTGTGACCTGAAGGGAGTGTCATTGGGATGACAATCAGAGCTCCTGAAGGCTGCCCCACTCCCCATTCCACCACCCTGCTGTTACCAGTGTCAACAGCCAATGGTGGAGATGGTGACAGTTATCAGAGAAAGAGAGGTGAGGGCACGCTAGGCGGAGCAAACAGCGTGTACAAAGGCTCCAGGGCAAGAAGCATGCAGTACGCTAGAGATTTCAGACAGTGTCCGTGGTGTGAGAAGGGGAGGACTGACCGTGGAGAAAGCTCTTATTGGAATCCCTGGGTTGCAGACCTGTGTCTTCTGCATCTTTCTTTTCATGCCCCCTGGGATGGCTCATTTGCCTGATGACCAGTGCCACCCGTTCTATAATCCAGGTACTTGGTAGGTCACTGAGCAAAGGCGGGCATCCAATCTCAGCCCCTCCCGAAATCACTGGGACAAGCTCTCTGGACACACCTCTTCCCTCTAGTCCACCAGCTACAGTGTCTCCTCTTGAAAATAGGCAGGCCCCTGTAAGGTGTGCCAACGTGAGGGCCAGCCATGAGCAGGGCAAGAGGACGAGAAACAAGAGGGCCCTCCCTTTCTGCCGCTCCTGCTTGAACAGTCCTTAAAGCTACGAGGCCCAGGGTCCAGTCAGGCTGCATCTATCCTGGCCCAGACTCTGGGACTGGAACACAGTAGAGAGGGGACAGCTGCTACTGAGGACCACTCCAACTCATGGCTCTGCTGCCCGCCCTGCTGGCCCAGCAAGCAGGTCCCTGGGGTCACAAGAGAAGGTGAACGCCTCTCCCAAGGTACTATGCTCTAGAACAGATTTACTGGACCAAACTTTATCTCTTGAGCTCTCAGCAGTACAGAAACACACCTCCCCACCTTGTTCCCAAGAATGCCTGAAACAGGAGGCTAAGCCTGGATTCCACAGTTAGAGAGCTGGCCCCAAATACCAAGACTACCTGAGAAGTCCCACGCCAGCCCAAAGGCATACTGAGTGTGCATGGGTGATAGCAGAGCCTGTCTGCCACTGGGTTTCTTTGGGTTACAGGGTGAAAAGGGAAAGAAAGTGACTAATGTCCAGTGGCAACTACAGAAGCATAAAAAAGCATCTGAATGGGCCCAGACACCAACTGTGCTTTAAGCTGCCATTTGCTAAGCTTAGGAACGCTGCAAAGAGCAAATCCTTAATTTTTTCCAGAGGCAGGAGTAGCAGTGATGACAAACAAGGGACCAGCTACCCCTAAAGAGCTCAGCTTTATAGAGGAGTGCGTTGCGTCCTTTCTCCCCTGACTGCTAACCTCAACCCCCAAACTTCGCTTCAGCTTCAGGGCAGACACCAGGCCTCACTTGTCCAGATCCCACCATCAAAAACAAGAAGGACCTTGAATCCGATATAGTTTAAACGTCCTTCCACGCATGTGGTGGCCGTGAGTCCGGGGCTGGATGTCTGATTCTCCGCAGGTGGGTCTCACCTCCCAAGCAGAAAGCAAATAATATTTATGGGGGCAGAAGAGATGGGAAGGAGACGTCTCCGAAGCCCGCGACTCCGGCTGCAGACGTCAGGGGGAGCCAGAGGCCGGGGAGACGGACTGCAGGTCCCTCCCGGTCCCGCCAGTCGGGTCGGTGACCTAGACTGCGCGCCCCGGAGGCGGGGGCTGAGCGGCTGGGGGGCAGAGGCCGCCTGGGAGCTTCCTGCTCCCTCGGTTTACTGGAGGTCACTCAACCCGAGTAGGCCGGCCCCGTATAATTAAAGTCCTGTGCCTGAAAATAGCCCAGCTGCAAAGCCATTTGGAAAGAAAAGTTGTGTTTGTTGTTTTTTAGATTTGTACTGTATTTCTTTTCTTTCTTTTTTTTTTAAACTGGATTTATTAACATGTACTACAAAATGGTCTCCCTCCCTCTTTTCCTTCCTCCTTTCCTTCTTCCACCCCTTCCTTCTTTTTTTTTGAAAAAGGACAACATTGATTTCCCCAAGTTCCATAATCTCCGATTAAACGTGTATCTTCTGGCCCAGAGGGGGGAAGGGAGGTTGGGCATTTATGCTTACAAAGTCCGCGTTAATGCTTACGTTCCCCGAAGGAAATGGACTTCGTACTCGCCCTACACGCACACACATTTGTGCATGGGGGGGGTGGGGGGGAATATTGTATTTTTCATATCAAAAACAAAAAGGAAGCAGCTTAAATATCTATCAGTGTGGAACAATCGAATAAATCATGGTATATCCCGTGATGAAGTGTATGCTGTTAACAGGGAGATCTATTTGTGTTCATCTGGAGAAATGTGCAGGAAACCTTGTTAAAGAAAAGTAAGTTGCAGGGCAGGGCCTGTGGCTCAGGAGCAGGGCGTGGGGCCCATATACCGAGGGTGGTGGGTTCAAACCCGGCCCTGGCAAAACTGCAACAAAAAAATAGCTGGATGTTGTGGCGGACACCTGTGGTCCCAGCTACTCAGGAGCCCCAGGCAGGGAGAATCGCCTAAGCCAGGAGTTGGAGGTTGCGGTGAGCTGTGACGCTACAGCACTTTACCAAGGGAAATAAAGTGAGACTCTGTCTCTAAAAAGAAAGAAAAGAAAAGTAAGTCGCAGAGTGATCTTCATAATATCCCGTTTTTTTTAAAAGAAAAAGAGAAGACTGTGTCAGTGCGTGAATGTTGGGAGCACATGAAGAGAAGCGTGGAAGATAGACTGAACTAGTCTGTATAATTGTACAGTTCGACTCACTCCATAATGCTTTCAAAAAAGCGGCCACCTTATGCAGTTAAAAATAAAATCCCATCAAGTAATGTAAAAAGGGAGGGGAAAGAAAAATGTTCAACTCTTTGGGTTGAAAGTGTTGCTACCTCCCAGAGGTGGCACCGTTTCTTATACTGGCCATGGCCGCAGTGTAGTTTAAGTAACAGTTATTTTCTAATGCTGTGTGTGTTGGGGCTCAGGGTGTGCAGATACGGTGTGAAGGGTTTGCACTGGGTGGCTGAAGTCAGGACAAGGAAAGGTGTCCTCCCTGTAAGAGAGTCTTAATGCTGCCCTCAGAGGACCAAATTAAGGCCCAATGAGTCTTTGCAATAGGATTTAAGATTTTCCTCTTGATTCTTTTCACAGCTATTGTATGAAAATGAGAAGAGTGGTTTCGGGGGAGAGAACACCAGGCAGAGCAGGACCCACCACCCCAAAGTAGGCTTCTCCTCTGCCTCCAGGAACACCTGCAGTTTGTGGACTGCTCAGGGTAATCTTCAGTTCAAAGGGAGGACTAGCGCCCCCTCCTTGAGACAGTGGGGCCCCAGCAGGACCAGTTACTGCCTCTGGCTTCATCTTGCCAGGAGGGTGCTTCTCCCTCTTCCCCAACTCATCAAAGAAATGGAGACACTTACCGAGGACCAAGAGGCGGGCACGTGACTTTAAGGTGCCAACCAGGTCTGCCAGCAGTGAGACAGTACACTCATAGGTGCCGTTGTCATCCATGGTCAGCTGACTAATGGTGATGGAGGCATCTGACTGCTCAGCATTGGCCGAAACGTTGACACGGTTCTCATAAAGGCTACCATAGATGTACTCTTTGGTCACAAAATTCCAGGTGACCACCCTTTCCTGGAAGGAAGAAAAAAATGCCACTTGGCCTTCACCCCCGGCCCCGACATGGTGCTTCCTCCTGTCCCAAGTACCTTTATCCACCGTCCCTGAGAGCACCACACCACCCCTCTGAACAAGCCACTCTAATATGTGCTACCCATTTGGATTTCTTTTACTATTTTATATGTACACATGATTTAAAAAAATTTTTTTTTGAGATAGAGTCTCACTCTGTCACCCTGGGTAGAGTCTGTGGCATCACAGCTCACAGCAAGCTCAAACTGTTGGGCTCAAGAAATCTTCTTGTGGCACCTGTGGCTCAAGTGGCTAAGGCGCCAGCCACATATACCTAAGGTTCAAATCCAGCCCGGGTCCGCCAAACAACGATGGCTGCAACCAAAAAAAAAAAAAAAAAAAAAATAGCCAGGCATTGTGGCAGGCACCTGTGGTCCCAGCTACTTGGGAGGCGGAGGCAGGAGATTCACTTGAGCCCAGGAGTTGGAGGTTGCCGTGAGCTGTGATGCCACAGCACTCTACCTGGGGGGATAGCTTGAGGCTCTGTCTCAAAAAAAAAAAAAGAAAGAAAAGAAATCCTCTTGCCTCAGCCTTCCAAGTAGCTAGGACTATAGGTGCCTACCACAACACCTGGCTTGTTTTTCTGTTTTTAGTAGAGATAGGGTCTTGCTCAGTCTGAGGCTGGTCTCAAACTCCTGAGCCCAAACAATCCACCTGCCTCGGCCTCCCAAACTGCTAGGATTACAGGCATGAGCCACTATACCTGACCTATTTTTTATTTTTATTTTTTAATGAAAATACTGAAAGACTTGGGGGTAGAGGCAGGTAGGCAGGAACACCTGTGAGTAGAAGGGGCCATCTCACATCCCACCACTTTACCTTTGGTAATCTCTGGCATCTCTTTTGTCCCTTCCATTTCAGCCCATTGTCTATGCTCCCTCGTTTGTTACCAATATTTACTGAGCACCTACTGTGTACCAGGCATCATGCTATGCAGCCTCCATTGACTTCCAAGCTTCCTTTGTGTACCTGAGTCTTGCCTTTGGAATTTATTTATTAATTGATCTACTCTTCAGTGATAAATGATATCATTTATCAAATAGTGTATAAGAGCAGTTAAAATCACAGATTTTCAAGCCAATTTGATTCCAGTGGAGTGAGTACTTCAGTTCAAGTCCCAGTTCTGCCACTTGCTAGTTGTGTGGCGTCGAGCAAAGCGCTTGACCTCTCATGTGCACAATGTGAGGGTGTCAGCAAGCCCCCGGGGGAAGGGCTCAACTACAGCTTGAACTTTACCACGGAGTGAGAACAACGTAACCTAAACATTTGTACCCTCATATTAATTTTTTTAAATTATAAAAAATAAACAAAACTAGAAGTGAAGAAGGAGGAGGAGGGAAAAGGAAGAAGGAAATCAATCAATAAAAACAGGAAAACTAGCCAGGTGTTGGGGCAGGCGCCTGTGGTCCCAGCTACTTGGGAGGCTGAGGACTTGAGCCCAAGAGTTTGAGGGCACTGGTGAGAGAGTAAGACTTTGCCTCTCCCTCCCCACCCCTCCCAAAAAAAAGACTGCCAGAGAGCCAAGGCAGGAAAACTCCAAGATGGGAAAGTGGCTGCTGGTATGACATGCTAAAGAGAGATGAGGTAAGATGACCGAATGAAGCCTATTGAATTAAGCAAAAAAGAAGCTGCTGTGACTTCATTGGGCAGTGCAGAGAGGAGACACATGGTGCCAGGTCTGCTGCCCCCGCACGCACTGCCCTTGGCGCAGATCAGAACAAGGTGCTCTGCCGGCCACTTCAGCATACAGATTGGCTGACAGAGCACAGCCCCCTCGGCTGCATGTGCTTACTCAGGGCACGATCTGCCGACCATAGGCAACAGGCCTGGCAGGGGTAGACAGCTGCTCTCTTGGGAGGCCTGACCGAGAAGGGGGCAGATGAGGAGCCATGGAGCAGTCTGTGGATGCTGGTGGCTCCCAGCTCAGCTCTTTTCTGACCCTGGCTGGCTCTGCCCAGGCCTCCCCATCTTCCTCCCATCAAAGATATCCCAAGGCTTCCTCCCTAGAGCTCCCTCTAGTCATACCCCTTGCTAAAACCAGTCCCATAATCTGTGTGAGGATTACACAGATTAACAGAGTTAATCCCTTTCTCTGAACCTTTGCTTGCCCTTTTGGAAGTAAAGGATCTATCAGTCAATAAAGTAACTTTAGTATCTACCTTAGCACCCAGAGGAGTGTCAGGCATAGACTTTATGTCTGGTTTGCTGAATACATGTGATAGTCAAAGAAGGTGATTACTCTAGGACTCTGGGAGCCCACAGGACAGGTGGCTGTGGCCCATGAGGGTTCCGTGGTTCATCAGGCCCAGACTTGTTCTCCTTCCCCGTTGGTCCTGCCCCTTTAGGACTTTGATGTCCTGGGCTACCCATTCTGTTTTGTCAGAGAAGAAACTAAGTCTTTTTCTACTCTGAGTGGTTGCGGAACTAATGTTGACTTCTGCTAGCAGTGTTTGCATTTTATAAGATCTTGTTTTCTGTTTTTTTGGAGATAGATTCTTGTTCTGTTGCCCAGGCTAGAGCAGTGGCCCATTCATAGCTCATTGAAACCTGGAGCTCCAGGGCACAAGCCATTCTCCTGCCTTAGCTTCCCAAGTAGCTGGGTCTACGGGCACAAGCCACCATGCCTGACTAAGGATAATTGTATTTATTACAGCATTATTTGTAGTAGCAAAATACAATAAACAAACTGAATGTCCATTCATGGTACACATAGTACCTTCATAAAATGAAATGCTTCATCTAGGGTGGCGCCTGTGGCTCAAAGGAGTAGGGCACTGGCTCCATATGCTGGAGGTGGTGAGTTCAAACCCAACCCTGGCCAAAAACTGTAAAAAAAAAAAAAAAAAAATGTTTCTTGCAAATGTTTAAAATATATATATTTGTTGTTGTTTTTTGCGTTTTTTAGGTAGAGTCTCATTATGTTGCCCTTGGTAGAGTGCTATGGTTCACAACAACCTCAAACTCTTGAGCTTAAGCGATTCTCTTGCCTCAGTCTCTCAAGTAGCTGGGACTACAGGCACCTGATACAATGCCCAGCTATTTTTTTTTTGCAGTTGTCATCATTGTTTAGCAGGCCTGGGTGGAGTTTGAAACTGCCAGTCCCTGTTTATGTGGCTGGCACCCTAACCACTGAGCTACAGGCGCCAAGCCCCAAGATATACTTTAATGAGAAAAGAAGCAAATTCAGAACAGTATGTATATAGTATATGTAAATACATGTATTTATAAATGTATATGCATGTGTACATAGACATATGATACCACTGTTTGTGTGTGCCTTGCCTGGGGTGCAGGAGGGTGTGGGGACAGAGGGATAGGGGTGTGGGAACTAGATGAAGGGACGGCAGGGGTGGGGATGAGAGTGAGCCGTCTCAGTGTACACTTTCTGTGATGTTTTGGTTTTCAAACCATGGGATTCTAGTATCTATTTAAAAATAGAATTAGGAAATAAAACAAAACTCCACATTCTCCAAAAGAATCCAAACGGGAGAAAATAAGCCACTCCAAACAAGGAAATTTGGCTTCAGAGTGAGGGCTGTGCTAATCAGAAGGAATGACTGAGTTGAATGGTAAAACTTAAGTCATTTGAGACCGGCCAACAGAAAGATATTTTAGGGCAGGCGACTTTTCCAAAACAAAGGTGGCACAATCTGAGACTACGTATCTGCAACATCACTACCGCCACCCCACACACTCTAGCTCTGGAGCTAACCTTGATTCCATTCTGTAGGGCTTGATTGCCCAGAGGTCATGGTTGGCTGATAATCATTCCTCTGATGCCCCAAACTTACCGAATGAGTCCTGAGAAGCTTATCCCATTGGATAAATCCACTCCGATCAGTGACTGAAGTGTGGTAGGTGCACGGAAGGGTGACACTCTTTCCCCGGGCAGCCTGAAGAACATCCTGCGGGGTTTCCACAGTGATGGCACCGACAGCCACCCAGACTGGAAAGGAAGTAGGAAATGAGAGGGAAAAGTAAAGGACAGGGCCACACCCACCCAGTGCCCCTGGGACCTCTGAGGGAATACCCAAGGCCATCCTAGCCCTTACAGCCACAGCCAGACATGCAACAACAGTGAGCTTGGCCCTGACACATCAAAGACGAATTCAGCAACCTCAGTCCACCTTAACTCCATCCTGCAACATCACTGAAGAAGTTGCCTGGCTTTGAACTTCAGCCCCACCTCTTAGCAGCTCTGTGAACTTTTCTGAGTTTTTGTCATGGGTGAAATAGAATCCTAATACTTCCTAGAATGTGGGAGAAAGTAAAAGAGATATTACGTGCAATTTTCTCTTAGTACCTGGCACCTAGAAAACTCGACCATATTACCTGCTGTCTTTTTTGTTGTGATGATGATTTATTCATTTACTTAACAAATATTTATGGACCATTAACACATGGTAAAGAATTTTATAAAGCTGGATATGGTGGTTCACACCTGTAATTCTAGCATTCTGGGAGGCCAAGGTGGGTGGACTGCTTGAGCTCCGGCGTTTGAGAGAAGCCTGAGCAAGAGCAAGACCCTTTCTCTACTAAAAATAGAAAAAGTATCTGGGCATCATGGTCACCACCTGTAGTCCCAGCTTAGCTACTTGGGAGGCTGAAACAAGAAGATCACTTGAGCACAAGAGTTTGAGATTGCTGCGAGCTATAATGAAAAAGAATTTTTTTTTTTTGAGACAGTCTCACTTTGTCACCTCTGGTAGAGTGGCATCATAACTCACAGCAACCTCAGACTCTTGGGCTCAAGCAATTCTCTTGCTTCCGACTCCAAAGTAGCTGGAACTACAGGCACCCACTACAATGTCCGGCTATTTTTAGAGGTGGGTCTTGCTCTTGCTCAGGCTTTTTTGGAACCTGTGAGCTCAGGCAACCCACCCATCTCGGCCTCTCAGGGTGCTAGGATTACAGGTGTGAACCACTGCATGAAAAAGAATCTTATAAATAATATTGAATCAAGGCAAAAAGAGAGGGGCTATTCTCAGGAGAGTTTATTTATATAAGTGCATCAGAAAAAGGGGAGAATAAGAGTGTGGCCCCACCATTATCTCCCATAGCACATATTCTTACTATGTGATGTTGACTCTTCTCTGTTGGGAGGTAGGGTTTACGTCCCCCTCCTTTGAGTCTGGTGGACTGGTGACTACAGTGTAAGTGATGCTATGTGGCTCTGAGACTAACTCATAAGAGGCCATGCACTGCACCTGGTTTTCTTGAGATGCTCGCCTAGGAACCCAATCAACACTCGGTGAGGAGACAGCAGCCGCATGGGAAAAGTAACGTGCAGCTGTTTGGGACACCAACTGAGGTCCTTAGGGACTGCCGACTTCAATCCTCAGACCAAGGAGTGAACAAACCCAATTGCCAAGCCCCTCCAGCTGATGCCAAGGAGTACAGAGCTGAGCTGCGCCTACAGAGCCCTGCCCAGTCAGGAAGACTCTATGAGTAAAATAAATATTGCTATTATTTCAAGTGACTAAGTTTGGGGATGGTTTGTTATACGAAGAAACATTTGGCACACAGAGCCATGTGCCCACTGATGGTGAGAACGTTCTGAGTGGAGGCTCAGCAGTGGAAAGGTAGCAAGGCAGGTGTAAGCTTGGTCCATATTCAAAGAACAGCAAAGAAGCCAATGCCTTGGAGGGGAAGGAGAGAGGAGGAGAAGGGCAGAGAAGCAGGGGTCTCTGATTGCATCGAGTGATGTCGCCCTTATTCCAACTGTGTATTTTTCTCTGAATGAGGTGGACAGCCTAGGGAGGGATGTAAGCGAAGGTAATAAATTTGACATTTTTAAAGGTCATGTTGGTGGATGTGAGGTGAGTAGACAGAAGAGGTGGGGAACAAAAGTGGAACCAGGGAAAACAGGTAAGTGTTGGGTTTTGATAGTGTAGATGAGTGTGGATGGTGGCTTAGATGGTGGCAGAGGTGGCATGAGTGATCCTGATTGGGGCGTATCTAGGAAATACAGCAACAGGGTTTGATTGCAGAGTGGATTTGGCATGTTCATGGAAAAGAGGGATCAGGGATAGATACGAGGATTTGGCTGGAAGAATGGATTGTCATTTACTGAAATGATGAGGGCTGGGGGAGGAGCAGGTTTCAGGAGTAAGATCAGGGTTTGTCTGTGGGCACATGAAGCCTGAGATGCAATTAGACATCCCAGGGCACCCTAGTGCCTGGTGATGGAGAAAAGGAGGATGAATCAGCAAGGGAGAAGAACAGGCCAGGGAGTTAGGGGGAGAACCATGAACAAGTGTGTCCCAGAGGCCAAGCAGGAAGAGTGTTTCATGAAAGCAAAAGGGTCAACTGCTCACATGCTGCTGGCCTGCTGGACTAGGGGACTGAGGACTAAGATGATCCCTGAGTGTGGCAGCATGGAGGTGACCTTGACAGGAGCAGGTACAGTGCAGCAGTAGGGACGGAGACTGAACGGAGTGGGCTCCAGAGCAAACAGGACAAGAGAAACTGGATGGGGGAGAGGAAAGAGGGGCTGTGTTGGCTGAAAGAGGCAATAGAGTCAAGAGAAGTTAGTGCCTTTGTTTTCTTTTAAAAAATACGAGTTTGGTAGCTTAAGAAATATTTTTGACACGATGTCTATTGATGATGAGAATGAACTAAGAAAGGATGGCAACAGCAAGGATGTTCTTGTGTGCAAATGGGGCTGGGAGCAGGGTTCTGGGGAGGGCAGCTCAGAAGGGCAGCGGGGCCATCCATCCATGGCAACAAGTTGCGGCTAAAGACGCAGGTGGTATTGACCATCAATAGGTTAGATGACAGGAAGACGAGCGGTTTCCTCCTGAGTGTTCCTATGAGAGGCTGCAGGATCAAGAAGGAAACTGTCCTGCTGAAGACCCCCCAGCTGGTGAGACTCCATTATCCATCACATCTCAACTGGGTGAACACACTTCTCTCTCAAAATGCAGATAACTCTCGGGGACACTTACAGCACGCAGGTGGTTCACACTTTAGCATATGGTACTTTGGGAAGTGACAATGAGCTGCCCTTCCAAGTGACAATGAGCTGCCCTTCCAGAGTAAGTGCTGGTGGCAGGGTCATGAGAGCTCCTGGGGCCACCTTGTAAAGTCCGAGAGGATGGGGATGGGGAGAGAGGGACAGGAAGCTGTCCAAAGCCATCTTTCCCCTTTGATGTTTCATATTTTCCTCATGGTGACGCCAGTGCCTGAAACACCCGAGAATCATCAAAAGCTTGCTCATACTGCCTCCGGAGTGGCCAAGGCTTATCAAATGACACTCAGCTGTAAAGCCTTTCAACCACTTTCATCTATCAGAAAACATTCTTCATCACTACCCACAAGCAACTTCTCAGCAGAAGGTTGTTTGCTTGAACAGGGCCCTCTGATGCCATCTGCCCAGTTCCTAGCTGTCACTCTCTACTCTGTTCAGAGAGCCCGGCTATGCCCGGTGGTAGTCATGGCAACTACTCACCTTTCTGGCCCTGCCTGGACCAGGACCTTCCCTGGAGCTTTGTCCTCAGGGTGACCACTCTCAGGCCTCTCAATGACCTGCATGATGTTTCCCCTCTTGTCTAACATCCTCCCCATAAACTACCCTGGGTGGGCCCTGCACCGGTCTCCCACGCTGTGGCACATTCTGTATGATGGCAGTAACTCTCGCTGTCAAATCAAAGAGACCCAACCTGCTAAGCCCTTCCACAGCCAGAATCCATTTCCTACCTTTTTTCCTTGAGCATATCACATCCTTCCTTTCTGTCAAAGAAACCCTTTTACATGATTTTATCCACCTACCGACAGGTATTTACTACACAACCCGTGCCTACCATATCCAACCAGCTCCTGCTCTTTCCTGGGAGATAAACTAGATGCCCACCAGTCATCGTCTTACCCTGGCAGAGCGTATGGACACAGACTAGACTCACACACACATTTGAGTCCTCTGGACTGAACTCTAAGTACTATATTTGCTCACAGAAGAGAAACCAATGTGGCTTTTATATAGGAGAAGAACTAGAGCTGGTGACCGCATAGAAACAACACCCACTGCGGGCCAGCATCTCAGTTCTCAGTTCTCAGGTGTCTTACATCCTTGTGAGAGGTGAGCCCCTGCCAGATGCAGCAGGCCAGGTCGGCTGGATTCAGGAAGTCTCTGAATATCTTCTTCCCAGAGGGGCAGTATGTTCCCACCGACCACTTCTGCCTCCTGTCCTTTTTCTCTCCCAACTCTCTCTTTCTTCTAGCTTAGAAACACAATCTCTGAGTTCTATTCCTATATCTATACCACTCTACACACACTGTCCAACTCCTCGTGGTAATTTCAGAACCTAGCATAGCATAGAGTTTAAACACACAGGACCAGACTCAGCGCCTGTAGCTCAAGTGACTACAGCCAGCCACATACACCAGAGCTGGGGGGTTCGAATCCAGCCTGGGCCTGCCAAACAACAATGGCAACTACATAGCGTTGTGGCAGGTGCCTGTAGTCCCAGCTACTTGGGGGGCTGAGGCAAGAGAATAGCTTAAGCCCAGGAGTTGGAGGTTGCTGTGAGCTATGATGCCGAGGCACTCTACCCAGGATGACAGCTTGAGGCTCTGTCTCCAAAAAAATAAAAAAAAAATGCACGGGACCAGAAGCCAGAGTGCCTTAGTTGGAATTCCAGTTTCTTTATTTGCTGAATGTATAACCTTCAGCAGTTTACTTAAGATCCCTGTGCCAGAATCCTCACTTGAAAAATGAGTTGTGTGAGGACTGAGGCACATGCAATGCCTCCTTTGTGTAGAATGGCTTCTAACTCATAATCGGTGCCTAGGAAATAGCAGTTACTACCGTAATGTTTCTCACGTTGAACCACTTCTGCTTCCTCACCTCACAGTCTGTTGTTGCTGTACACCCTTTATAGAGGGTGACACCATCCACCATCACCATGGGTGAGCTGTCAAAAGGGAATAATAATTGATAATGATTGTAACTAAAAACCAGGATCAGTTTTAGAGATTGTAACAGTGAATTAAAATCTATTTTACAGTCAAAGATTTGTGAGGAAAGAAATATAAATCAGTG